TTATCATCAAGCTTCTTTGGAGTGAACAGAACATGGAAATGAAAGCTCAGCTTCCTTTTACCCTCTATCCCATTTCTCCTTCCTGTCCATTCTCCTCCATGCTTTTGGAGGGTCTGTGATGTATCAGGACAGCATTTCCCAGCTTTGGTTCCTTTGAACACAAATTTCTCCATTTCTGCCTAATCCACAACCCTCTCTACTGGTAGTTAATTTTCAAAAAGTGTAACTCTCATTGTTTTGCTATGTAAGTTTGGCTCCATCCTAAAACAATGAACTCCACTAAATCAAGGGCTGTATATAATATTTCCCCCAGTGCAAAATAAAGAGAAAAAAGTCAATGTGATAACACAAACTGAGCATGACGAGGGACCTCACAGAGCCACACCATTGACTATGCTTGGTGGAATTTTCAAGGCGTGCCAGGCCTCAGGCAAGGCCTTCCATAAGTGCTTGCTGGCTGGCTGACGACTGTGCATCACCCCCACGACCTTCTGACCAGTGGTATTCAAGTTTTAGCTCCTGGAGAGCTTGTTAAAAGATTGCTGAACTGCATCTGTAGAGATTCTGATTCAGCAGGTCCAGAGTGGGGCCTAGGAGTCTGTAGTTCAAACAAGTTGCCCCAGGGGATGTCAACACTGTAGGTCCAAGGACTACAATTTAAGTAGGTCTTGGGCTACTGGGCATCAAAATCACTTGAAAGTGCATCTTAAGTTGCAGGTTCCTGGGCACTACACACCAGACATTCTGATTCCTCAGGCTGAGGTGGGTCCCTGGAATCTGCCATATTAACGGCTCTCCAAGGATCCTCCGGAGACCTCCATTAGCATCTGGAACTCGGAGGTCAGGGACAACTTCTCCTCCTCGTTGCTTGGGCCCTAGACCTCAGTGCATTCTGGACTTCCTCTTCCCCCCTAATCCAGCAAACCGTGTCAGCAAACCCTGCTGGCTCTTCCTTCAAAACATATTCAGACTGTCTTCAAAAGTCTCCAGTATGTATACTTGGGAATGAGACAGTAAATGAAACAAGACTGATGAAATACTGAGGACTGTTGAAACTGAGAGTTCATTTATTACAATTTTTATGGATATCTGAATTTTTTCCAAAAGGCAGCTTTCTAAAATTTTTTTATTTTTTGGCTGCATCAGGTAGCTTGCAGGATTTTAGTTCCCTAACCAGGGACTGAACCCAGGTCGTCAGCAGTGAGACACTAAAGTCCTAATTACTGAACTGCCAGGGAATTCCCCAAAAGTAGCTTTTATTTTTAAGTCTTGATCTAACAAATCCACTTCTTGGAATTTATCTTCATAAAAAGGTTAGATAACAGAAAAAAAAACTTACAAATAAAAATATTTTCCAAATAGTAAGAGTGAAAAACTGGGAATATACTAAGTTCTTATAGTAAAACAACAATAAACTATGGGACACACCCCAGTGGAATTTTATATTGTTAAAAACATTTATTCGGACCATGTACCAACACGGAAAACATGATACACTATTAAGTAAAAAAACAGGACATTAAATTGTATATGCTGCGTGATCAAAACTATGTAAGGACCTTACGTTTTTTTAAAAAAGATTGAAACTTTAAAGTGATTTTATACACCTAGAGTCTGACCAGCTTCCGCCACAATCAGTGCCATGACCGCTGCCTGAGCCCAATCGGTTCTCTTGCGGGCATCCCTGTGATGCCTCTATCTTGGTCACCCTGCTTCTACTCTTCCTCCCTCCCAGCTCCTCTCCACATGGAAGCATACAAAAAGGTAAATCAGACCATGACTCTCCTTAGTTCAGACCCCACAAGGCTTCCCACATTTCTCCAAATAAAAGCCAAGGCTTGATCTTAACTAGGCTGTAGGACGGGTCATGTCACCTGCTCTCATCTACTCTGTTCCCTGCCTCACTGTTCAGACCCCACAAGGCTTCCCACATTTCTCCAAATAAAAGCCAAGGCTTGATCTTAACTAGGCTGTAGGACGGGTCATGTCACCTGCTCTCATCTACTCTGTTCCCTGCCTCACTCCTGCCACTCCAGTCACACCGACCTCCTTACTAGTTTTCATTCCAGCTTCAGGACCTTTGCACTTGCTGTTGCACTGCCTCCAAAACTCTGAACGAGCATGCCCCCCTCCACAGCAGCTCTTTAGAGAGGCCTTCCCTGAGCTCATCTAAACCAGCACTGCTCCCCCTCTGCACTAAAATCTGCACTTTTTAGTTTTCTTATAGCCCTTAACACCTCCCACGATACATCTGCTTATTATGCCTTCTATTTATTAGAATGCAAACTCCTTGGGAACAAAGAATTTATGTCTGATCCTCTGCTAAATCCCTAGTGCCCAGCACAGAGCCTTGCACCTGGTCAATAAACACCTGTTGAATGAAAGCATGTTGAGTTAAGTAACCATCCAAGAAAACTCTAAGTTTCAGGTGGGCTTTCTCCTTCCTGGGGGACCCTCCCTCTCTGAAAGCTCCTGGTGGTGGCAGACCCACGGCTGGAGCCCACTGGGGGCAAAAGGTGGCTGACCGTTTCTCTATTCAAGGTCTCCATGGTGCACACACAGAATAAACTGGGTCTTGTGAACCGGAGGAACAGAGCAGGCTGGCTAACAGCACTGGCCTTTGGAGGTCAAATTGGGGTTGACCACTACCGGTTGTGTGGCCCTGAGGAAACTGAGAATTTTCTGAGTGTTAATCCTGCAAAGAGTAAGTTTCTACTTCCCAGGGCTAAGGTGGGGGTTAAACCAGGGAACATCCATAAAACACTTAGCAAGCACAGTGGCCGGCAGAGAGGAGGCGTATGACCAGAGGCAGTCACACTAACCCAACAGCCACGTATGGGCCTTTGTCTCCTTCAAGTTTACAATGGGCCCTTATACTCCCTTTATCTGACTGGGGCCATTCAACAACCCGGTCGTTGTCGTCGGTTTTATCACCATTTTATAGGTGGGGAAACTGGGTCAAAGGAATAAAGTGCTGGCCTACAAAACACACCGAATCAGACTACAGCTCTAGCGCCCTCACCTCCAGAAACACAAGGTATTATGACTGCCGACTCTCATCGAGAGGATTTGGGGGGCCTATTTCAGGCCCAGACTCTCCAGTGTGTGCAACAAATGTGCACACAAAATGTGCAACAAAAGTCAGAGAGCCACACCTTCCCAACCGCCCGATGGAGGCAGGGGCTTGCTCCCATGTCCCTCAGTGAGGCTTGTGAACAAGTCTGAGCAGATAAACTAGATCTCTGAGTCCACCCAGGATTTAAAGTATTTTCCCCAGAGGGAGGGGAAATACAAATGCCCTTTCTGCATTAAGAGTTTGATGGCAGCTCTAAGCAGCAAATGCCATCTTCACTGTTTGAGATCCTTGTCGCCCTGCAGCCTCTGATCCAGTATGCCCTAAAAAAAAGCATCTCTTCCCAAAGGCTATCCACTGGACACAGCTGTGTGGAGCTCTGGGACTGGCTCTCATCAGAGTCTCCCCCACTTTCCCAGGGTTGAAGGCTAAGGCAGGCCACATGGCGGGCAAGTAATCAGCAGGTAACAGACATGAATTTTAGAACCACCCAAGAGAACTGTAAGCTTCAGGTGGGCTTTCTGTTTCTTGCGGGATTATCCCTCCCTGAAGGCTCCTGGCAGTGGCAAACCCATGGGTAGAGCCCAACGGGGACAAAAGGTGGCTGACCGTTTTTCCATGTGAGGCCTCCATGGCACACACACAGAGTAAACTGGGTCTTGTGAACTGGAGGAGCAGAGCAGGCTGGCTAACAGCACTGGCCCTTTGGAGGTCAAATCTGGATTGACCACTGCTGGCTGTGTGACCCTGAGGAAACTGAGAATTTCCTCAAGACTGAAAAATCACAGGGTCTCGGGGGTCATGTATTTTTACCACTACAGCATCTGAGAGACAAAGAAACTCACAACCCTAACACGTTAGGCCTCATGGGCTCGGCTGAGACTACACTGGATGGGATGGAGCAGACAACCCCAAGAACGCAATGTGATGGCTCCTGGGTACTGAGCATCTTCCATCTGGTCAGGGGCTTAGTGACCACTGTGAGGATACAGTCAGAAGGCTCCCGCTGCAGGAGGAAGGCTGGGAGGACAGGCCCTGGAGACCAATTTAATGACAAAGTTCTACAACCAGGCCCTTTGGGACAGGAGATAACAGAGACCTCAAAAGGATCCCACCAGGCCAGCAAGCCCTGGCCCTGGTGACGTGTTTTGAGACCCGGATGGTGCCATGTTTGGGGCAAGCCACCAACTACCAAGAGACTCTGAGAGCAATTCCATGACAGCCTGGCTTGATGCGGGTGCTCCCTACTGGGAACGAGCTGTGTGAGCAGCACTTAGCCGTCTGCAGCGTACTGACAGCATGCTGGTCAGTAACTTCCTTGTGCATAGTGTTTACGACGGAGAAGACTGTGCCCCAAACCCTGGAAATGGCCTAGGAAGTGGGGGTTGACAGTGGCTCAGGCCCAGGCAGTGGTGATAAGCCTGAGGGTCACTTTGGGGGGTCATGTGTAAAGCGGTCAATACACCCACTCAGCCCTAGCCTTATCCACATTCTGTTAAGGTCACTTTAGGTACGTATGTTAATGAACTTCACTTATTTTTTTAAGATAAGGGAGAGTTCCATGGGAGTCACGATCTTGTATCAAAACTATAAAAATCTCTTTTTCTATACATAAAATCTCTCTGAAGAGAATTGAGCATCTCAGCCACCTCAGAGCAGGGCAGGCCAAAAGACAGAGCTTGGGCTACTTTGCTGGTGTGAGAAATTCCCAGGAGAAGCAGTAGGGAGCACGTGAGAAGGGGAGATGTCTGGCCGCTAGGAGCTTGTAAGTCCCATGTCCTGGGAGATGGACTGTCTTCCTCCTCCAGGAAGTCCCTGGTACTTTTCTCTGTTCTCTGATCCTTGGGGAATCAACCCTGGGAGCATCTCTGGCTGCCAGGCCTGGCTGGAGGGAACAGCTCAGACTGGGGGTGTGCTCCAGCTAGGATCAGAACTCATCCCGCAGCTGAGGGGGACTGTCCATGCCAAAGAAGGAGGATGGTCTCCCATGGAGGTCCCGTTCCCGCTTCACGAAAGCAGTGAAGGAGGAGACACAGTTGCCAATAAAGTGGTCTGCTTGGCCGAGGATGTACAGGTCGATCTGGGCCACCTCAGGCTTCAGACTCACCACCTTCACCTGCAGGAGGAAGGGCAGGGCGTTTTAGACAGGGTTCAGGACAAAGTGGCCGAATCCGACTAGGCCTGCAGCCACCCCTCACCTTCTTTCTCTGTGCTGAAGTCACAGACAGAGGAGGAGGCGTACAAAGCATTAACAGGTAGGGTTGGGGTGCCTGAGAAAAGTGCTGCCTAGCAGATGGTGACCCTAACCCTCAGCTCCACACACACACCACTCGTTCACACTCTGCCTTTGCTCATTGGTGTCTTCTGCCAGGAATGCCTTTTCCCATCCATCGCAGTCCTGACCATACTCTCAAGGCTCAGTTCAAGGTCTGACTTTTTCATAAAGCCCTCGCCTCAGGGGCTTGGCTTCTCCAACCAAACCATAAGCTGACCAAAGAGCACATCACCCACCTGGTTCTGCTGCCTGGATGCCTCTGAGACTAAAGTCCTGTCCAATTCTATCCCTGAGATATTCCTCAACGGTGAACCTTTCTCTTGATGGACTACCACTCCCTGGTTGGTCACCATATCTTTTCTTCTACTGGTCTGCTTACCAAAGGAAAAGTGAAAGTGAAAGCTGCTCAGTCATGTCCAACTCTTTGCGACCCCATGAACTATACAGTCCATGGAATTCTCCAGGCCAGAATACTGGCCTTCCCCTTCTCCTGGAGATCTTCCCAACTCAGGGATCAAACCCAGGTCTCCCGCACTGCAGGTGGATTCTTTACCAGCTGAGCCAGAAGGGAAGCCCAAGAAAACTGCAGTGGGTAGCCTATCCCTTCCCCAGTGAATCTTCCTGACACAGGAATCGAACCAGGGTTTCATGCACTGCAGGCAGATTATTTACCAACTGAGCTATCAGGGAAGCCCAGATACTGTAGGAAAGCAGCCAAAAAAAACTTTCACAGATTCCCCTACTCCCTTATTCCTCCCTCCCTCTATCCCAAGCTGAGCACCCTTAACTGGTGCCCTACTGCTCTGCAGATAAAGACTACAAATCTAGAATGTGGCCAAAGGCCTGTTCAGCTGCCTCTCCACCTTGAGCTGCAGCCACTTCACACCAGGCTCCCTTCCGTCTCAGGACCTTTACATGCTCCCCTCTCTGTTGGGGGTGCTTGTCTCTTTGCCTGGTTAACTCCTACTTAACTCTCACCCTGCCGCTCAAGTCTCATCTCCTTAGGGAAGCCCTCCTTGGCTCCTCAGTCTAGTCCAGGCTCCTCTGCTCTGCACTTGCACAGAACCACGTTCCTTTACGTTGCAGCACACACCTTCGTGTGTAGCTTTCACTCCGTGATTCTCTGGTTAACGCCCATTTCCTGTACCTGGCTGGGGCTGTGTTGGTTTGCTAGTCACTTCTGACGGTGGTCTGTCTCAATATGCATCTGGGGACTGGACAAGTGAGTGAATGAGTCCCCATACCCAAGCCTGGCCCTCTCCTGTGGCATACCTTAGAATTCTCTGCACGTCTCTTTTCCTGAGTTTAGACTGTGAGTCCTGGAGGGCAGCACTACATCTTATTTATCAGTATCCCCGGCTCAGCACTGCCCCAGCTTAATGGATGAGCAAGGCTTAGTTCAGGAGAGAGGGTAGGCTGAGCCCATGAAAGGAGGTGAGGAGTGGAGAAGGGCAAGAACAGTGGCACAGGAACAGGAAATAGAAATGGCAAGAGGCACAAGGTGTAACAAGTATACCAACTCTAAAAACTCACAAAAAACTCCCTGGGACTCTCCGCGTCCTTCCATTTAGTACGGAGGTAGGGGGTGTGGGCAGAGCTGGGGCTGAAAGTGCTTTGCTGTCACACAGAGATTTCTGATGTAACAAAAATCATCATCTTGCTATTCAGATGGTAGCAGAAAAATAATACCAGCTTAATCATGGCCAAAATCCCCAGAACAATTCCGCCCACACCCTGAAACTTACCCCTCTGTGTCATGCCCACTAAAATTAGCCCTGAGACCTCCCGGGTAAATTCTATCCTTTCTTGGGACTTTGGTTTCCTCAGTTTTAAAATGCAGAGGTTGGGTCGGAGGTGCTTCAAGGTCTCCAGCTCTGATATTCTTCTATAAAGTGGGTGGGTGGGGACCAGAATGCTGTGACTTGGCACTTCCTCTACAAGGCACTTCCTCAACCGTAAAAGAGGGAAAGGAAGCCCCTCAACATAAAGCCAAGGGCACCCACTGTTAGAAAGCGGATGTTTGTCTTTTAAGGTCTGCACAAGCATTTAGGGGCTTTATGCACTCCAAAGTCTTACTGAATGTTCACTATTAACTCCACCGTTTTGCCAATACATAATTACTTATTATCTATTCTTCACTTACACAGTACCAAGCGCATTCTACTATTTACTCCTATGTCAAACCCCTACTATTCACCCCTTCCTTAAGCATTTATGAAGCACAAAAGAGCCTTTCCTGTATTCATCAACCACCTACTTCTACTATCGATGACAGCTAACTTTATCAAGAACTTATTTTGTACCAGACCAGTTTAGCTTCTTCTTACTTGATCTTCAAAATTACCCCCCAGGATAGCACTACTCTCAGTCCCATTTTACTGATGAGGACACAGAAGCACAGAGAGGTAAAGTAACTGGCGCAAGGCTGCAGAGGGAGGAGGGCCCAAGGCCCCGCGCTCCACAGTCCCTGCTCTTAATCCCTCTGCGGCACTGGACTGCCCCCTCCCCTCCCCTGGCCCCCAGAGCCCGCTCAACATCCTTAACCACCAAACATTCACCAAGAGCCTACCACGTGTCAGGCACTGTCCTAGCCACTGGTGAGGTCAAGGTGGGGTCTCAGCCCTGGAGGAGGTCAAAGTATCTGGCTAGACCCCGAAGAACAGAACAGTGAGTCTACCCTGGATCCTGCCTTCAAGGAGCCACAGCTCCCTGGGAAGAAATAAGACATGTTTCTACACGAGTCTCACAGTCTTGGTGTCTCGGGAGGAGGTGTGATCAAGTGCTGTGTCAGCTCCCAGTCGGGATCCAGCAGCAACAGGAGTGGCGGGAAGCCTGCAGAGCCCCGGCGGAGGTGTCTGAGCTGGGGTTTTAAGAAGGGCAGGAACTAGAGAACAGGATGTTCAAGCAAAAGCCTGGTGGCGGGAGAACATGAAGCATGAGGTGGGAGCGGAGGGAGCACCTTGGCGCTTCCTTTGATTCCCTTCCAGCTGCTCTCCCTCCAGGCCCACACCCCACATGTACCTTCCCTTTGAAGAGCTGCTGGATCTCAGGCAGGTAACTCTCAGAGTCAGTGGCGATGTAGACGGATTGGGCGTTCAGCGCTGTCACCCAGAGCTTCAGGGCGCGCCTGATTTCCTTCAGGTCAGGGAGGCACATGGTCATGGTGAGTGGGGCGGCGGTGTGGCGGCTGTAGCCCACGCATTGTGGGGAGGCCATGAAGTGGGCGCCAGCGGTTCCATCTTTCAGCATGGCACACGCGTTTTTCTGTGGGGCAGGTGGGGACAGAGCTATAGACAGCCACTGCCCACAACCCCAGAAGTAAGAGCCCAGGAAAGGGAAAAAGGCAGGCGATACAAGAGTGCAACTTTTTTTTTTTAAACCACTGAGGAAAAGGGAAATGCATCAACAGTTAACAGTGCTAAGGGGATATTGGCTTTTCACAGTTTCTTTTTTTTTTTCCCTTGGTCTTATTGCATTATCTGGGACATCCAGCAGAATTTTGAACTGTGCTGGTGATAATGGGCTGCCTCATCTGATTTCTGACTTCAGTGGGAACACTTCTGATAGCCCCAAGAAGTGTATGTTTGCTGTGGGTTTTGGAGAGATAGCCTTTATCAAACTAAGGTGGGCCTCTTGTATTCCCGGTTGGTTAAGAGTTGTTTTTCTTCTTTTTTTAAATCATAAATGAATGTTGACTTTTTATCAAGTGCTTTCTTGGCTGCCACTGAGATGACTATATGATTTTTCTTCTTTGGGCATTGATATAATAAATTTCACTGCATCACTGGGATAAATTTTACTTGTTTGTGTTGCATGTTCTTTAATATGCTACTGGATTTTACTTTGTAATATTTTACTTAGGATCTGGGCATCTATGTTCACTAGTGAGAATGGACTCTATTTCCCTGAGTTGACCTTTTAATAAGTTTGGTATTAGCATGATGCTAGATTAAAAAAAAAAAAAAGCAGCTTATATTTTTTTATGTCCTAGGAAAGTACAGGTCCTGGCTCCTTTATTTCGTGGAGGGGCAGGAAGGGGGTCATATGGATGTGACTGCTTCCTCAAATGACACTTTGATCTAATTTCCATACTTCTGAGTATTTTTCAAGTTTCTGTTAATGAGTATTTTTCACATACAGATATATACATATCTTCTTATGTAAACTAAGGAGATCATCTGTACTGCTCCGGTTATTTTCACAGGGAGGATAACCTGATGAGGTTTCTGCACATTTAAGCAGCTGCCGAATTTGGATGGTATCTTCTTTCCTTGGGAGCCCCACCCAACCTCCAGAGCTTGTTTTTCAACAAGGAGTTGACTGGCTAAACACTGAGCTGGGGCGGAAGACTGTGGGCGCGCTCTGGCTTGCTGCCTGACTCAGAGCCTAGCTTGATACCTCAGTTTATCCATCTGTGAAATGAGGAAAAAAGGGCAACTGTTAAAAATGAGAACTACCAAGCAAGCACTCTGAAGCCACATTTGTGTCCATGGTGGGACTGTGGGGCATAACACCATCAGCTTGGCCGAGTGAGGTCTCTTTGCCCTGGCTAGGACTTGGTGCAATGGGTTCAGCATTCAGTGTCACACAGACAATGGGCCCTGCTCATGGATACGTCCAACCCAGCCATGAACGGAAGGGGGAAGTTACCCAGTCGGAGCCAATGCGCAGGTGAATGCCCACGTAGGGCCGGATGAGGTGGGTGCGGATCTGGGCCTCCCCTGTCCTCACCATCTCGTCTGACCACACCATGTACTTCTGGAGTGGCCTGTGCTCCTCCAGGACAGGGAACTGAGCAGGGGCACCAGGCAGGGCAAGCACTGGATGTTCCTCTGGAGAAAATCTAGGCAGGAGACAAAATGAGAAGTCAGACAGACGACGCACAGAGAGTCTGGCTGCCACCCCCACGGGAAAAAGGGTGGTGTTGCACCATGTCCCAGAGACCCTGCAGAGGGGCCCCTGTAACATGCAAGAAGCACGAGAGGTTGTGAAACACCAACGGGCTGATAAGAGACCTTGGCAGCAGCAACAGCCACAATATGCAATACTGTCCCGCCACGAGGAATTTACAACCTTCTTTGCTTGTTCAACAATTAAAAATTTACAGTAGAGCATTCCAGCCCTTTGTATGTCATGCTGGCTTCCAATCTGTGGTGCGGTAATTCACTCCAGGGTGGGGTGTCTAGACTGAATCTCTGCCCTTTTACCCACACGGTGGGATTAGGAAGTGCAGCTGCTAACATGTCACACTCACAGGGAGCGTGTACGGTGGATGAGATCATTCACTCAACACTTAACACATATCTACTGATGGCCTACTACGTGCTGAGGCCCAGAGGAGAGTAAGACAGACATGATCCCTGTGTTCATAAAAGCACCAGTGGTCTGAAGATGCCCCTGTCATTCCCTGCTGAAGGCTCTCCCTCCCCCTTGTTCACAGTGCACCTTGTAATTATTTCACCCGTCTTTTCTGCTGGACTCAGGCTTTGAGGGCAGTATCTCTGTGTGCCTAGAACAGTGTCTAGATACACATAAGAGCTCAGTAAAGACTTGTTGATTGACTGAGTGAAGAGCAAACCTGTGTTCTCTCATTAGCTAAGGCCAGACTATATTCCAGCAACACAAGATGCCCCACTGTTCCATAAACTTGTAAAGTACTTTCCAACTCCAGATCTCTGCAAACTTCTCCCTTCCACCTTGTATGCCTTCCCTCTGCCAGTCAAAATCCTTTCCCTAAAATTATGAAATAGGTACAGTCACTCTGGAAAACAGTCTGGCAGTTTTTAATAAAACTAGACAAGCAATTACCATATGACCCAGCAACTGTATGCTTGGGCATTTATCCCAGAGAAATGGAAACCTCTATTGACACATGAACTAGTATGTGAATGTTCACAGCAGCTTTATTCATAATAGTCAAAAACTGGAAACAACTCAGATGTCTCAACAAGTGACTTGTTGAACAAACTGCAGAACTAACCCACACCACAGAACACTACTGCTATAGGAAGGAACCAGCTATTGATAGAGGGAACAACTTGGATGGATCTCAAGGGAATCCTGAGTGGAAAAAAGTCAATCTTAAAAGGTCACACACTGAATGATTCTATTATATAACATTTGTGAAATGACAAAGTAGAGAAAAAAGAAATGGAGATGGGATTAGTGGTCACCAGGGACTAGGCTCTGTGTGTGTGTGTGTGTGTGTGTGTGTGTGTGTATGTGTGTGACTAGGCTGTGTGTGTGTGTGTGTGTGTGTGTATGTATGTGTGTAGGTGTGTGTGGTTATAAACTGGCCACACAAGTACCTCTGTGATGTTAGAACTGTTCAGTATCTTGACTGTGGTAATGGATATATGAACATACACACATGACAAAATTGAATAAAACTAAGTATACTCACATAGAGAAGTGAGTTCAAGTAAAACTGGGGAAATCTGAATAAGATGGATGGATTGTACCAATGTCAACATCCTGGTTGTGATACTGTGCTATAGTTTCGCAAAATGTTACCACTGGGGAGAATTGGGTAAAAGGGCACTTGGGATTTCTCTGTATTATTAATATTTCTTACAAGTGCACATGAACCTAAAAATTACCTCAATAAAAATTTTAGTGAAAAATTACTAAATATTTCAGAGCAAGAAGGAAAAGAGAAAATAATTTAACAGTCCACATACCTGTGACCCAAATTAGCAAATATTAATACTTTACTTTGTTTCAGATTTTTAAAAACACACACCTAAGTAAAAGCTCTATCCTATGGTCTTTTCCCCTCTTCCTCCTCTTTCCGGAAGATACTGTGGTTTTATGAATGGTTGCACTTTCACTATTTGTATAAAAAGGTATTGTCCTGTGTGCTCTTTACACAGTGCAACGGTGAAAGTGTGCACTACAGAGCCAGATGACCTTGTTCTAATGTTGGCTATGTCACTAACTTCGGCAGGTGACTAACTAAAACCATTCTGTGCCTCAGTTTTCTTATCTGTGTAATAGAATTGATAACAGTTCCCACTTCAGAGGGCTGTTGAGAAGATCAAACAGATTAATATAAGCAAAGCATTTAGAACAGTGCTTGGCATGTAGAAAGCTCTCACAAAATTTTGACTCTCAGCATATCCATCATTGTCATCATACTGCATGTAATCTATTACAACTTTAAAAAAATTTAACTCTCTGTTTTAGACATTTGGCCATGTTGATAGTGTGGATCATGTGACCACGTTAACATCTCCCAAAGTTTTCCATCTGCATGAAGAAATCAGTTTATCTATCTAGTCCCCTCCTGCTGGTCAATGAGGCTGTTCCAATCTTTCCCCCATACGAAAGAGCTGCAGTGAACAAGCCACTCTTTATTCACACCTGACCAAACACCACAAACACCTCCAAATTTCCGAGACCAGTTGCCACACCCAAGCCTCAGCTCCTAGGAGTGGGCTCCATCCCACTTTGCTGCTTCCTGCACAATGATGTGCTCAGTAACCACAATCCCTGTCCACTGACATGAGGCTAGACCCCGAGTACTTTTGTTCACGGTGAAGGCCACACACACGAGTGTAAGCCCTGTGCCAAGGAAGCAATGAGCAAGTGTTCATCAACAGCCTAGCTCTATCTAACACTTGTCCTGTCGGAGTTTAATTTTATATGTACATACCTGGGACAGGCAGTGTTCCAGTTACTCTGTGTACATTAACTCATTTGAGTCTCTTAAGAGCCCCCATGAGGCAAGTACTGCCGTTATTCTCACTTCACAGATGAGGAAACCGAGACACAGAATGGTTAAGTGGCATGCCCATGGTCACACAGCTAGGAAGTGGCAGAGCAGGGATTTGAATCCAGGCAGTCTCCTCCAGAACCTCTGTTTTTAACTACTGTACCTCACTCCCAGCTCCCCCACCCAGTTAATAAGTTCCTCAAAAGGTGAATATGTGGCTTATTCTTCTGATTCCCAGTCTCAGTGCAGGCCTCAACACATAGTAGGTACAATGAATATACTTGGAATGAATGAATGAGCCAGAGATCTCACCAGAAAGACCAGATCAGGTAGTCAGGGGTTAAAGGAAGAAGTGAACTATAACTGAGTACCTACTATGGGCCAGGCCACCTTAAAAGACTTCAAATGAAAAACAAAGTTGTGACTTCCTAGAGGGCTGGAACGTTAGGATAAAACCAGGACCTCTGCCCTCCTTGACCTCTTGGAAAGAATCTGCTGCTGACCCTTGGTGAATTGCAAGTCTGGAATATATGACCCCTTTACCTGGATCTGGATCAGCTCACACAGCCATCTTGGTTGGATCTGGATGAGACATCCTTACTGACATGACCAGCAGCGAGAAGCCAAACTGGTGTGCTCCTTTGCTCCCAATGAGGAGACTAGTGTTTGGAGTGAAAGTGGGGAATGAGGGTCTTGTTTGGAAAGAAAGCTTAACTAGCTCCATCTGTTCACATCCCTGGCTGGTGACCCTAAGTCAGGCCCTGAGCCTGGTAGCTATCCAGCTGAATAGGCACACTTTCCTACTGTGGGGAGCAGTGAGCCTCTGGGGTGTTTTACCATTACACTGACTCTACTGAGATCCCCCTCCCAAGCTGGGGTTTCTCCATGCATAGCACCCATGTGTGTGCCCAAGAGACACCAGTGAATGGACATTATGCAGGGTACAGAGGATGCGGGCATATGAATGAGGCAGAGTCTAGCTCTCGGTTGTGGCATGAAAAACTGCTTTTCTCTGCAGCTCTTCATGCCTGGCTCCTTCTCATCCTTCAGGTTTCAGCCCTGCCAACTGCCTGTCACCTGTTTATATCCACTCAGGAAGGCTGTAGCCAGGGAGAACAATAAGCCACATGCTCAAATACCTGTTGCCTTCATGCCAAGAGAATGGTTCAGCCTAATGATTCACAGCCTTCCAACAGTGAAAGTGCAATAAATAAATTTCTATTGAATTAAACCTCCATCAGGGTATTCATAGATTCAGAACCAGCAGAGATGGAAAGATCCTCAGTGGGGAAGAAATCACCCTTATTCTCTTCTTCTAGAACCCAACTTTCAAGCTGGATACACAGAAGCCCAAAATACATTTCTCAGTACTTCTTGGGGCTAGGTATGGCTGCACATCTAAGTACTTAGCCAATGAGCTGGGGTAAGCAAGCTGTAAGGAAGGCTCCTTAGAAAAGTGAGGAGGGGCCCTTCTTCTGCCCCTTTTGTCCCTCCAGCTGCCTGGGGTTTCATCGGTTATCTTGATCCATGAGGTGACATTAAGGATAAAAGCCGGTAATGGGACAGCTAAGCAGAGATGGGAGCCTAATTCCCAGACACAAGGGAGCCGCCATGCAGCCCTGGGTTGCAGTCCTTTTTTATGTAAGAAAACCATAAACTTTTGTCTTGCTAGTCTGCTGTTATTTGGGGGTTTCTCTTACAAGCACCTAATTTAAACCTGGTACACCCAGACCTGTGACCACCGAAACTTTCAGCTGATATACAAGAGGGTTACTGATTGGTAGTGGGAGAGGGGAACTGAACAGCTCTAACTTGGCCCCCCCATGGCACTACAAGCGCTTCTCCACAACTCTAAAATTCAAAGAACAGTTTGAAAATGACTTATCTTAGAACTTTTCTGGTGGTGGAGTGGCTAGGACTCTTTGTTTCCAATGCAAGGGGCCCAGGTTCAATCCCTGGTCAGGGAACTAGATCCCTCATGCTGCAACTAAAGATCCCACATATGCATGCACACATGCTCAGTCATGTCTGACTCTGTGTGACCCCATTGACTGTAGTCCACCAGATTCCTCTATCCATGGGGAGTCTCCAGGCAAGAATACTGGAGTGGGTTGCCACTTCTTTCTCCAGGGGATCTTCCCAACCCAGGGATCAAACCCGAGTCTCCTGTAGTACATGTGGATTCTTTACCACTGAGCCTCCAGGGAAGCCCATAAAGATCCTGCATGCTGCAACTAAAACCCAGTGCAGCCAAATAAATGAATATATTTTAAAAACTATAAACAAACAAAAAAACAAACGTCATCTTATTAATTGTTTAAAAAGGAAAGAAAATGATCAATCTTGCTCAATCCCTTCATTTTATAGATTGAGCACTATGGCCTGAGAAGGGAAGCAACCTGCAGTTACCCAGTGAGCAGGGAAGCATCTGACTCTTGCCAATACTGTTCCCCTGACACCCATACTCCTGCAATGGAAGGACAACTTCCAACAGCAAGAAAGTAAACCTAAAAAGTTGGCTCAAAGGCAAAAGCTTCCCCAAGCCCTCACATAATTCCTACAACTCAACGAACTCAAACAAGACCATGGGGTGGCCATGAACAAGTGCTTCAGCAACACTGTCCAACTGATGCATCCATGTAGCACTGTCCCTTCTCCAACCAGGATTGTGTGTTTTTGGCTTTTTGGAATTTGCTTTTAGAACTGGTGTCATTTTTCTCCCCTAGCATTTTAGAAGCAAATCTCCATCTTCTGAGGACAGTCTGCCTTCTGGTAATAGCTCTAGGTTCATTCAGAGCAGAATGGGGAGGACCAAGCAGGTAATTAAATGGAAATCAACAGTTTCCTATGCAGGATCAACTATGAGGGGGGTAAGACTCTGCCAGGATTGAGTCTCCTTAGTAGCTCATGAACTAGCTCTGAATGCAAGTCCCAAATAGGAACTGGGAGCTGTTTAAGGCACAGCTCTTTTCTCCACAGTGATGAAGAATGGGTGCTCTGGAGTCAGGTGACCTGGGTTCAAATCACAGCTCTGCCACATCAAGCTCAGGCAAGTGATTTCACTTCTCTCTGCCTTAATTTCCTTACCTGTGCAGCAGAGATGACAATAACACTTGTGTCACAGACTTGTGAATTTATTAAATGAGCTATTATCTTGGAAGACTCAGGTAGAGAAGACTTAGTACAGCAACTGGCACACAGTAGGCACTAAATAAATATTAGTTTTTATTAACTATGAAAGCCTTACACACAGACCCCAGCTGCCCACTCAACAGCTGCATTACTTTGGGAAAGTTATTTAAATAACCTCACTGATCTCAGTTTCCTCACCAGTCAAATGGAAATTGATCATAATACCCACTTTGCGAAATTTCTCAAAGGCTTAAATAAAAGAAAGCATGTGAATAACGTTAACAGGTAACATGGACCGACCCTCTACTATGTGTCATGTGATTTATACATTAGGAGGCACATACCATAGTGCTCTGTCCATTAACCAAGGAGGAAGCTCAGGTCAGACAGTTTGACTGGCTCACTCAGGGTTATCTGAGAAAGGGCTGCATGAGAGCTCAGGGCTGTCTAATGGTAAATCAGTCTTCCTTTGCCTTGCTGGGACCACGAAAGAATTCATAAGCCCCTCACGGCTCCTAACCCAGGTCTGACGTCTAAGCCCCTGCTCTTTCTGGCCATGCTATAGCATCAATGGCAAGTGTACTATGTTAGTGTCATCATTTTATCTAGACTGCAGGCAGCTAAAAGCTGAGACTGGGTCTTCCTCATTTTTATGTATCACCTCTGGCCTTTGAGCACTATGTCTCATATGTGACAGACGCTCTATAAATATTTCACAGGCTGTGCCTATGCCCTGCTAACCTATTCTTTTTTAAAAATAGGGTTTAGTGGAACGCAACTAATAAAGCACATCCAATTATTATCAGGATGACATCATTTCTCATTCTGTACCTGAAGCTGTTCTCCTCTAGAAGAGGCTTCCAATTTTCACCTTGTGAAGAGGAAGGTAACAGGGGAGTGATTCTCACGCCTCAAGGAGGAAATTGAGATGCATGTGACTGCACAATATTCTTTTTATGACATCCTTTATCGGCTGATAAACTCTTGCTCAACCTCGTGGCAGGTCAATGTCCCACTGTGTCAGGCGTTGAGATGGGAACAGATCACACAGGATCCCAAGTTCAACAGACAGAACAGCCGCACCTTTGGTCTCATACATCAGGGTGCAGGGTGTGGTAGAGGGAAGAGCACCAGGAAAGTGCTGAATGCCCGTGGGCCCCCCACTCCTCCCCCTAACCCCAGCAACAATGCCCCCTCCACCTACCTCTGGATCCACTGGTCTTTGTAGGAGGCGCTGAAGGAAATGCCTGCAAAAAGCTCCGACTTGTTGAAACTCACATGAAACTGATCCCAAAATGGGCCAAAGGGGTTTCCTTCCTGGAGAAAGAGAGTGGCCAAACGCTTACTGGGCAGGAAAGAAAGCCAGGTGGGATTGGGGCCAAGGAACTGTGGATGGGGAAACCCTGTACTATCTGACTCGGTCTGAAATACTCTCATAGGATGGGCGAGTAGGAATGTAACTTCATAATTCCTGGGCTGGGGGCTGAGGAGGGTGGCTTGGCCTCCAGGCTGGTTTTCAGCAGGAAATGTTCACCACAATATCTGAAGGGGTCTTTCCTGCTCACATGCCATATCCTGCCAATCCTGCAGCATTGGTGGGGGTCTGGGGAGGCAGCTGACCTTGGATTTGGGACCACAGACTAAGAGCTCCAAGAGAGTTTCAAGATCAGCTAATCAGCTAAGATCCATGCTCTTATTTTCAAGATGGAAACCAGGGCCCAGACAAGGTAAGACATTGGCTCAAGCTCACAGAGCAAGTGAGGGCAATACTGGGGCTGAAAGCAAGGTTTCCTTTCTCAAATTTCATGGCTTCTTCACCTACCCTCCCCAGACTTTAGCATAAACACTGAAAGACATATTGGGGATTGTCTTATTCCCAAAGTGCCAGAAATTTACAAACTTCTGATAAATATGACAGCCTCACATTTACCTGCTGAGAGGCAAGAAAGTATACAAGTTAGGAGGGTGGAAAATGGAGTCATATTACCACAACTTATTTGCTATATGATTTTGGGCAAAATATTGAACCTCTCTTTGTTGCGCTCGGTGCCCTCTCTATAAAATGAGAATATTAATAGTACTTTCCTCATGAAACAGTTGAAGGACTAAGTGGGATAATTTGTGAAAAGCTCTTAACATGGTACCTAGCATGTTATAAGTGCTATGTGAGTACCAGTTATCATTACTGATGTGGTACTTTTCAGTTTACAAGCATTCTTACTCCTGGCCCTCACGATACTTTGTGAGCAAGACACAGCAGGGACAGGCGTTTTTATTTTGTAGGTAGAAATAAAGGCTCAGAGGAAGCAAAGTCCTCTGCCCAAAGTGACACTGCTGACAAATGCCAGAAATGGGACTTAAATCTCCATTTTTCTATTCCAGGCTCTTTCTATTGCTATCTTGCAGTGTCTCCGGGCCTTGAGGAGCCAGAACAGGCAGAAAGGGTCCCCTGACCCACAGGACTCACCTTCATGGGGCATGTTTTCTTATCAGGACTTCGCTGGGCTGCGACCTCAAAGCAGTATGCCACCCGCTTCTCAGGGGGCCAGTGGGTGGGTGCCAGCTTCTCCATGAAGTCCTCCAGGCTGATGACTCGATGGTAGGCCTGGAGGGGCTCCAGCTTGAAGTACTTCTGGTAGGACACATGGACCTACAGGAAAAGTGGGGAAAAGGAGGGGGTGGAGGGGCCTCCCTCAGTACCCTAGTGGCTGCTTCAAAGACATCCATTGAAACCACATACTCGAGGACTTCCCTGGTGGTGCAGTAGATAAGAACCCGCCTGCCAATGGGGGGCAGGGGATATGGGTTCAATCCCTGGTCCAGGAAGATTCCACATGCCACGGAGCAACTAAGCCCTGTGCACCACTACTGAGCCCACACTCTAGAGCCTATGATCCTCAACGACTGAAGCCTGTGCGCTCCAGGGCCCAAGAACCCCAACTACTGAGCCTATGTGCTGCAACTAATGAAGCCCTCACTCCCTAGAGCTGCACATCACAGCTACTGAGCCTGTGTACTGCAATTCCTGAAGCCTGGGCACCTAGAGCCTGTGCTCCGCAACAAGAGAAGCCACCACAATGAGAAGCCCTGTGCGCCGCAACTAAGAGTAGCCCATGCTCACCACAACTAGAGAAAGCCCACGCACAGCAACAAAGACCCAGTGCAACCAAAGATAAATAAAATATTTTTTAATTAAAAACAAACAAACAAACCCATACACTCTATGACCCAGAGAGCTTAGACTTCATGTCAGTGACAAACTTCTGACAAAGGACACCAAGCTTAGAACAGAGGCTGGGAGAAAACATCTGTAAACTAAAGGACAAATAGTAATGTACCTCATGTTCAAAAATGCCTGCTGAGTGCTCGCTTCAGCAGCACATATACTAAAATTGGAACGATACAGAGAAGATTAGCATGGCCCCTGCGCAAGGATGACATGCAAATTCGTGAAGCGTTCCATATTAAAAAAAAAAAAAATGCCTGCTGATTTGTAAGAAAGAAGACAAATGACACAAAAGAAAACATGGGCAGGAAAGGATAGGAGTGAGCAGCTCACAGCAAAGAGAACCCAAACAGCCAATACACTCAAAAGATGTGCAGGCTCACTAGAATTAGGAAAAAGAAAATGGCAATGACAACAGGACACCACTTCTTACCCAAGAGACCAACAAAAGTTAAAAGCTTAACTCTGGGCTTCTCTGGTGGTCCAGCGGTTAAGAGTCCACCTGTCAATGCAAGTGACATGGGTTTGATCCCTGGTCCAGGAAGATCCGACATGCTGTGAACCAACTAAGCCTATGTGCCACAACTACTGAGCCAGTGCTCTAGAGCCTGGGAGCCGCAACTACTGAGCCCACGTGTCGCAAATACTGAAGCTCTCACACCCTAGAGCCATGCTCTGCAACAAGAGAAGCCACTGCAATGATATAGATGCCCGTGCACCACATCCAAGAGTAGCCCCTACTCGCTGCATGCAGCAATGAAGACATAGTGCAGCCAAAAATACATGAAATAAATATTTTTAAAAAGCTTAACTCTAATTACTGGAAAAGATATAGCTGACAGTAGAGGCATACATTTTAGAGCCACTACTTTGGAGTATAATCACTTAGAGCATCTATTAAAAATAGAATTTTAAATGCACCCTCTACCTCTAGGTATTTGCCCTAGACAAGTTCTTGCCCTTTGTACCAGGAGAGGGATAAAGGATGCTCAGTGCCATAATGGAAGCAGTACTGGAAAGAACTTGGAAGGAGTTCCACCAAAAGATACTAAGAAAAAAAAAAAGAAAAAGAAAAAAAAAGATACTTAAGTCCATGATAGTGGTTGCCTCTGAGCCTGGGGGAGGGACTAAGAGCAGCCTTGAACCAAGACAGACTTTATCTTTTAACAACTTTATCTGTAACCTTTTGTTTCTCTTCTTAACAACAAAAGAGATGAAGCAAAGACAAGAAAATGTTAATGATTATCACTGCTTATGGTGAGTACATGGATGGTGATTATATTAATCTCTGAGACTTAAGAAAATTTCTTGGAACACTATGAAATACAATTTAGACTTTATCCTATAGGTCAGAGTTTCCAAGCATGTTCTACTAGTTCAGGTGGGTAAAGGGTTCTGCAATAAAAAGGCTCCAGAAATAAACAGGCCTGAAAAATGCAATGTTGAGCAGGTTTCTTTATGACAGGACTTCTCAGGGCCTTTAATAATGCTAACGTGCATTTTGAATCTCCAGATCTGGGGGGAATGAAGAACTGAGAACAAAATTTCCCAAACTGACTTAACCACTGCACCAGTTCTACATAAGCCATTGGTGTTCCAATGAGCAGACTTTGAGAACCTTACTTATTAGCAATGAGGTCACGCAAAGGATTTTAAGCAGAAATATTATGAGATCTGCTCTCCTGAAAGATCTCTCTGGTGACAGAAGAAAGAATGTCCTGATGGTAAGATTAGACAAGGGAGAGAAAGATTAGGAGGCTACGGCAATGGTCCTTTTATTTGTTCGAGTATTCATTCAACATGAGTTGGAGGAGAAGGGGGCAACAGAGGATGAGATGGTCAGATAGCATCACTGACTCAATGGACATGAGTTTGAGCAAACTCTGGGAGATAGTGAAGGACAGGGAAGCTTGATGTGCTGCAGTCCATGGGGTCACAAAGAGTAGGACACAACTTAGCAACAAAACAATAACAATTCATTCAACATGTACTTTTGTTGTTTTGTTTCACCATGTATGTCTGAGCATCTCTCATAACTCTGACAGATGGGGAAGCATGGACAGGTTAGAAAATGTAAAGAAAGGTGAAGTACAGAGTAAAGGGAAGCATTTAGGATGACGTCTAGGTTCCTGGCTTGGTATCCAGGTGAATGGAGGTGACATAAACTAAGGCTGGAAATACAGGCGGGGGCACAGGTTTGAGGGGAAGGTGCTGGCTCTGTGGGTCATCCAAGCAGACTCAAGGGCTGAGGAGTTTGAAACACTGGGCCTGTGGTCAGAGAGTCAGGGCCACAGATAAATTTGGAAGGTACATGGAGAATAATGAAAGCTGCAAGAGTCAACAGAAACTTAGAGCAAAGCAAATAATGGTAATAAAAGCAACTAATATTTATTGAGTGCTGGATTAGCACCAGGTGCTATACTCATCATGTTTCATGGACTTGACCATCTAATTGTGAAAGGTAAGAATACAGCCATCCCTAGTTTACTTATGAAGAAACCCGGGCGGACAGAATCTAGATAACTCATCTGAGGTCACACAGCTAACAAGCAAACAGAAACAGGAGACACACCAACATTTAAACAGTGGGTGGGGAAAAAGGAGCCCGTGCTGCAGTGCAAAGAGGCAAATGCAGACAGGTCGGGCTAAAGCAGGAACAGGCTGTGTCTTGGAAACCAGGGGAGTAAGGAAGTTCAAGGAGACAGGCTCATGGGGTCAGGTGCCACCGGGAGGTCAGATGAGATAGAGACCGAGAAATGACCCCTGGATTTGGCAATTCTGAGGTCTCTAGTGACCTTCTGTGAGAACAGTCCCATTGGGGAAGGAAAGTCTAACTGGAGTAGGTTGAGTAACCTGTAGAAAGCAAGAAGAGACTCTGAAAGACTCCTAGCTGAGAAGAGAAGGCAAGTCAACCAGAAGGAGATGAATGGGCCATGTCTGAACTGTAACAGTAAGTGCAAAAAGACAGCATCAACTGTGCCCAGTTACTGAGGACTCTCTGTGTCATAAGCACTTTACATTGAATGGCTCAGCTGATTCTAAGAGGGAGGGATACCACCATCACTAACTCACTGAGGGAAGGAGCAATAATTATTTCCAGCCTATTATAAAGATGGGAAAACTGAGGCACAAGGAAGTCAAGTACCTTGACCAGGCTACACAGCTAGTCAGTGGCCAACTCAGGCTATGACCTCATTGAAGTGAAGTTGCTCAGTCGTGTCCGACTCTTTGCAACCCCATGGGCCTACCACGCTCCTCCATCCATGGGATTTTCCAGGCAAGAGTACTGGACTGGGTTGCCATTTCCTTCTCCAGAGGACCTTCCCGACCCATGGATCGAACCTGGGTCTCCAACATTGTAGGCAGACGCTTTACCATCTGAGCCACCAGGGAAACTGGCTTTTATCCTCTGTTAAAAATCTCTCTAAAAATGGCATGCACAAGAAAAAATAAAAACTATGCAGAGAAAAGGTTCTAAGAAAGAAATATGCGTGTTTTGCAGATAACCTTTTGAAGTTTATTAAGAACTTTCAAAGTCAATTCACTAAATATTAACTCAGTTCCCACTACCAGACCCCTGGAGTTAAAATGTGAACTAAAACAGACAGGCCAATGGAAGTCATAAAGAATATGCAAGAAATTAAGACGATGCTGGACTTCTCATTCTAAGGGACCCGTTAATGAGCTGGGAGATGGTGCTGGAGCCAGATTCCTCTAGTTTGTGACCTTGGACAAGTTATTAACTAACTTGCGCCTCAGTTTCTCCCTCATAACTGATAATAGCACCCATCACCTGTGACCAATGGGTGGGACCAGACCAGGCTGGAAATGGAGTCTAGAGCTTCCAGTCACAGGCTCTGGAGTCACACAGACATGAGCTTGAATTCCAGTTCTACTTGTGTGAATGTGGTAAGATACCTAGCCTCTCTAAAGTGAAGGAAAGTGAGTGAAGTCGCTCAGTCGTGTCCAACTCTTTGCGACCGCGTGGACTGTAGCCCGCCAGGCTCCTCTATCCATGGGATTCTCCAGGCAAGAATACTGGAGTGGGTTGCCATTTCCTTCTCCAGGGGATCTTCCCAACCCAGGGATTGAACCAGGGTCTCCCGCATTGCAGGCAAATGCTTTATCCTCTGAGCCACCAGGGAAGCCCATAACAGGGAAGCCTCTCTAAACCTGTTTCTTAATAGAAATGTGATGGGAGAAAAAGAATTACTCCTCATGCAGTGCTCAGAAAGCAGGTGCTGAATAAATGTTAGTGAGTTAGCCAGGGAGGACAGTTCTGGGTGGTGGATAGGGCAAACTCAGGGTGATGGGAGATAAAGCCTATAAAAGGACTTGGGGTCAAGCAGAGGTGAGCATGACTAGGGAAAGGTAGACAAGGGCAAACAGCAGGCAGGAAGTACTCACATTGGTGAAAGGAGGCTTGTGATGCTGGTACTCAATCCAAGGAGGTACAGCCAGGGTGCGGTTCAACAGCTTTGCAAATGCCAGGGAGCCCAAGAAATGATCAGCCTGGTTCCCAAAGCGCCCTGGATGGTATATTGCAGGTGAAGTGAGGACTGGGGTGTTGAGGGCTTGGGGTATGCAAGATTCAGAAAGGATGCGGAGCCAGGGATGGGGAGGACCAGGATACCAAGGATAGCCAGGGGAGCTGGCAGCATGGGACCAAGTCTGGACTCCTGGGTCTGATGGTCAAGGCCCTGCCTCTTCTGCCTCAGTCATTCCAGGTTCTTGCTGTTTCCCAAACATGCTCTGCACTTCCCATCCGCACCCCCATGTCTTCGCTCTTGCTGTTACATCAGCCAGGGGTGCCCTTCTATTTCCTCCCCTCTGTACATGAAGGGGTAACTCCAATGCCTCACTCATTGGGATCCTTTCATGACCCCTCTGCCATATTCAGTACCCATCCTCCATCTCCCACCTTGGATGAGCTACTTGAGTGGTTCTTCCACTCTTCTTAGAATGTCCTTTCCCATTTCCTGGCCTTTGGCCCTTTCCTCAGCCTGTAAATGCCTCAGGGGCAAGGGCCCTATCTGATTGTTTCTGTCTTCCCCAGCAGGCATCCACTCATTCATTCCACAAAGACTGTTGAGAGGCTACTATGTGTCAGTATCTCTGCTAGGTGCTGGGACACAGGAGTGAGCAAGAAAGTCAAGGTCTCAGCCTTCAAGGCATTCACAGTCCAGGTAGGATGACAGTAAAGATAAACAAACATGTTTGGTGATGGAGAAAAACGATGAGATTATTTGGGTTGAGGTCACTGAAGTCCTTTCTGGCGACACTTATAAGCTGTGGCATGAGGATGGGAAGATGTTGGTCTGGCACAGAGGCAAGAGGAGGGTGTTCCCAGCTGAGGGAATAGTGCGGGCTGCAGGACCAAGCCTGTGTAAGGGACAGAAAGGGATAACTGTGCCTGTAACTAGAACATCTGGGGAGAAGGGTGTGGTGGAGATGATGCGCAGAGGGACATACCATCATGGTCAGGAGACTGGAGGGTTTTAGGAATGAGTGACTTTAAAATGACACTCCACCACTCCCATTTAAACTGCACCCCACTGCCAGCTTTTAGATTCTCCCTTACCCTGCTCTATTTTAATTTTCCCATAGCACTTACCCTCCTCTAAGATATTATGCAATTACTTACTCTTTATGCCTATCTTTTATGGTCTGTTTTTCTCAAGTAAAATGAAGGCTCTACAAGGGCATAGAGCTTTCTGTCTTATCACCACCGTATCCCTAGAGCAGAGAACAGGGCTGGGCACCCAGTAGGTGCCTTATAAACATGTGTTGAATGAATCGCCCAGAGCCAGCACTGGTCAGTGACATCAAGTTCTACCCCACTAACTCCATTTACTGGACTCGGGGCTGGCTCAGGCTTTGCGCAATACACGTCGTAACCTCTCCTGGTCTCGGTTTCCTCATCTGCCAAATGGAAGGCTGGACAGTGAAGCCCCTCAGTGTCCTTGCCACAAGGGCAGAAAGTCGAGGAGCAGGCCCTGTCCAGAGCTGGAGTCCGTTCTCGGACCTGTCAAGGCGTCTCTGGGCGCCTCAGAGGAGTGGCTTCTCCTTTCCGGGCCTCAGTTTCCCCACTTGGACAGAAGGCTCGGGAGGCCTTACCCATGCATGGGCAGTAGAGCAGGTAACCGGCCGGATCCCAGGAGCCCACGGACAGCCCCGGGAGCGGCAGAAGCAGCAGCAGGAGAGACACACGCGGCGGCAAGAGAGACGGTGCCCACGCGGCGGCGCCCATAGCGGCTCCAGAGCCAGAGGGCGCCGCGGCGCGAAGGCTGGGAGGGAAGGAAGAGCGCGAACGTCCGCCCCGCTCCCGGCGACCCCCGCGTGCCGCCCGCGCGCCGCCCCGGCCGCTCTAGCCGGCGGGCGGGCGGGACCATAGAGATCCCGCGGCACCGCCCCCTCCACGGCCCGAGCGCCCGCTCGCGAGGCTCCCACAATGCACCGCACAATGGCCCGACCGCCGCCACTACCGGGGCCTGAGCGGGCCTGGCGGAGCCCGAGCGCGGCCCGGCCCGCAGCGCGGGGCTCGGAGCGCGGTGAGTGCCGGCGGTGACCCCGGGGGACGGCGGGGAGCGGGGCGGGAGGCCGTCTCGCTGTGCCCGCGCGCCGGGCACCCGGAGCGGCAGCGCCCCTCATCGTGGGCCCGTCAGCGCGGTCGCCCACACCCCCGACCCGAGGCCCCCTCTACGCCAGCCCGGCCCAGATAGACCCCGGGGTGACCAGAACTCTCCTCGGACCCGTTACCTGGGTCTTGGGGATTCGAAGAAACTCTCTGGCCCACTCCCTACTGAGACCCGAAACCGGGAGACTCAGCCCTGGAGGTCCCCTACTCCCGACCACCCCCCGCCCCCCCAGGCTCCCTGGAGACCCAGATAACGCGCAGCTGACCTTACCAGGGACCCGGGTCTGGGGGACGCAGATAAGCTGCACCTGCTCCCTCCCCTCAGACACGCCTACCCGGACCCACATAACCCCCTTTGCTGCTCCATATAGTCCGCTCTTTCCCCTCTGTTTCATTTCCCAGAACCACATAACCCCTTTTGAGGCTTCCCTCAAATATTTGGTTCTGGGGAACCCAGATGAGCTCTCCCATAGTTTCCTCCTTGGCGATCCTACTCCCAACCTCCAGACAGCTTCCACGCAGTTCCATTTGAGACTCTTGAAATTCAGGGAATTCGCCTTTTATCTTAGCCCCTTTAACCCTCCAGCCGGTGTACACCATCCGCAGCCCGTCTCTCTTTCTTTGCGGTGGGTGTGGTGGCGGGGGGTCTCCGGGATTCAGATAACTCGCCCCTCCCTCCCTCTCATTCCTGAGACCTCCTCCAGTCTTCTCCCTGAATTTCTGTCCCTTGTCTGGCAGTCGTCCACCCGCAGCCCTCGCAGTCCCGGGGCGTTTCACAGCCCCCCATCCCCGCCACGCAGTATGGTGGTCTAGAAACTGCTCAGGAGCCAAGCTGTCCCCTGCAAATCCTGTCCCAGGCTGTGGCCCCGTCTTGGTGGGGAAAATGGACCTGCAAGGTGCAAGATAAGGGGATATTGGATGTGGGGAGTTGGTACTTTAACCTATAAGTGCTCCTATCTCCTGGCTTGTGTGTTTTCCCACCTGTCTGCCTGGGACTCGGAAAGAGCCTAGCCTGGGGTTTCTAACCCAGCCTCCCAAGGTGAGGCCACCGGATTGAGGTGGGGGTCTAATCAGGTTTCCTCTTGGTGAAAATGGGGCTGTTGTGAGTTGCAGCCATTTGCTCAAGACCTCCTTAGGAGTGGGAGTCATGGGGAATCAGATGAAATCGGGAATCAAAAGGACTCCAAAGAGGGTCCATCTACACTAGAACTAGCAGCCCGGGAGTAAATCCAACCCCTGTTAATCCTGTTTGATGTCTCTTGGAATGATGCAAGCCATTGAGACTCTCCAGCCTCCCTGTAATTTAATTCTCTCACCACTGGGGAGTGTGTGTGTGTGGCGGGGAAGGGGGGGGGGGGTTGCGAGGCAGCTATACCCATTCCCCCCTTTCCTTCTCACCCTTCTCCAGCCAGTCAGTGTATCTTTCCTTGCCCAGGTCAGGACTTTTTTTTTTTTTTAAATCTCTATTTATAATTTCCCAGTTGCTATTTTGGGTTCTGCTTAGGGGAAGATTCTGTCCACCCCAAGGAAAGTTCCTGGGTGTGTTTCCTCCTCGGCAGGTGTTGAATTGAGTTCTTCAGATCCCCAAGTAGCTCTTGGGCAGGAGGGATAAAAGCTATTTTAGGGTAGTCACTGAAGTGGAGCTGTTAATCCTCTGTGGGTCTCTAGTTAAGAACACTTAGAGATTAACCCTTTCCTTGCTGCAGGGGGGCTATTTCTTAACAGTTTGGGGGGAGATTTGGGAGAATTCAACTCTGGCGAAGGTGGGAACATGCAACTCAATACAAAAGCAAAGATAATCGCTGCCTTTTGTTGGGTACTTAGTGCAAGCCAAGCCGAATGCTGAGCCCTTTGCATACCTGACTAAAATAATCCTTAAAACAAGCCTGTGAGGTAAGTATTTTTAGTTTTACAGATGAGGAAACAGGCTAATAATGGAGAAAGAACGCAGTTTGTATAGAGATGATGTAACACCATAAAAACTATAGTTTCGTCAGAGGGCAGCAGACATCATGGCACACAGCAGAGGACAGATAGATGAGGGACTAATCTGCCTCTTTTAAAGGCTTCCAAGAGGGCTGCAGAGAATTTTTAACTAGGGAGCCTTAATAATAGAAGAGATTCCTAAACTGAAGGAACTCAGGCCCAGGATATGGTGCTGGAGAAAGATAAAGTAAAGGGGGACTGGCTCCGGGGGATGTGCTGAGGGTTAATTGTGGGGGAAAAGAGGAAGGCTGCATTCTGGGGAGGTGTTGGGAAGGGAAGGAAACTCACTCTGAGGCTTGAGAAGTCACATTAAGGGAGGAAAAAAACGTACTACTCAGGCCCTGTGCCGAAAAGGAGACACAATTTAGACCTCAGAGACTGCATTGTTTGTATTCACACGTATTATGTCAGATGTTTTAAGAGTGTTGTTTCACTGAATCTTCCATGAGAATATTGGTAGGTAAGAACTAATCTCTCTTTTAGAAATTGAGGAAACTGAGGTTCAGAGTAACAGACCTACCAGTGGTTTCACAGTCAGTAAGTGGCAGCTCTTCTGATAGCAAGTCCAAGGTTCTTTCCACAATACCTCCCTCTTGAGATCAGGCGCCAGAAGGAATCTTAGGATGAAAATACACCGAGTTATACCAGTAACTGGGAGGGATTGATTGTGTTTGTTTTATGGGAACAGGTTCTGTCAGCTTCTACAGTTGTTAAGGTTAGAGTGTGAGACCAGAAGAACAGCTTTGAAAGAGAAGCAGGATTTTTTTTCGCAGTTTTGTGGAGAAGAAATCCGAAGAAATAGGCCTTCGGATAATGTGGGAGAGGCCCAGGAATCTTCCTGGATGAGAGGAGTTTGCAGACAAAGGACAGAGGGAGAAAAACTAGATTTCCTAAAGGATTCCTAAGGTAACACTAAAGCCAAAGCCCCCATATGTGCAGATCAGGGCAAGCACATGGCTGCTGCCTTCCTTCTTTGCTTCTATCAGTGCAACCTCGTGAGCTCTTCTTAGCCACCGCCAGCCTCTTTCCTAGAAGCCCATTACTCACTCTTTCAGTAGCAGCATACTAAACTGCTGTGTCTTGTTTGTGCTTGTTCAGGAGAACAGATGAGGTGGATGTGTGGGAGGTGGGGGACGTACTGTTCTCTTTCTGAGTTTGTGCGGAATTTCCAGGGCTAGGCTTCCCTCTCACGTCAGCCAAGTGATGCAACTTGCTTCCTTCCCTCTGGCTGCCATTCCCGGCTTTCCAGAGGCAGAGGTGCGTGATTTCACGTGTGGGGTGGGGGAGCAAAATTTGACTTTGAAGGTGGGGGAAATTCCCTCCAAACTAGATTTTCAAATTCGTGCTCGCTCTCTACCCAATTCCAAGCTGCCTAGTAATCACTGCTATTATAAACAGATAATTCCACCCTTTGGAAGAAGGGGGGACTTAAACAATAAAAACCAGACGTCAGAGGCCTTTGAGGTTTATCGTGAAGTAGACAAATATGCCATGATTCGAAGGCTCAAGTGGGACTAATTTTTAGTGTTAGCATGTGAGTCATGCAAAATGCAGCCACCTTTGTGCAGATCTTTCTAGGCACATCTCCACTCGTGATGGGGAAATTGTTTATCATATTACATTGCAGTGTTTCTTCAACAAGAGGAATGGTTCCTGAACAGGACGTAGCTCATGTTAATGATGAGCAAAGCTCTCTCGGGCATGAACCCGCTGATCCCATCATCTCGTTCATGGCCAGCCTGTTGGTTGAATGGTCACTGTAAGCAGCAGGTGCTAATGAGCTGAGCAAGCATTCTTTGGCCCACAGCTAGTTTGTGCAGTTGGAGCCCTCCCCAGATTCTCGTGGACAATCCCCACATACCCGCTTTGCTCCCTTCACATGGAAAAGCCTCATGACCAAATTTTGGCATGAGCTCTTCAAAGGAAATCCCCCTGTTGTAGCAAGTTACATTGAGGTTGGTAACCTGTTTGTGTGGTGAGCTTGTGAGTGTGAATGTGGGTCTGCTGTGCCCCTTTTGAGAATTAATGCCCTTTCTCTCTTCCTCTGAGTTGATGTCAGTAAAGAAGTTGTGTCACCAATGCTTACCTGCTCCCCCACAACCCAGTAGAAAGACTTCAAGATATGGTTTCCCGCTTTGGAACTCAGTTTAAACCAGAACTTCCTGAGTGTGTTAGCCTGTAGGAATCCACTGCATTCAGTGACTTATGTCCTCATCTAAAAGAAAGCTGAAAGTCCTTTTCTAGATGCTAGGTGTATGGAGATGAAAGAGACATAATCTGAGCGCTCAAAGTATCTGAGTTTGGTGGTGGAATCTGAGTTCTAATGCAAGTATGTTACCTGTTCACAATGGAGACGTGCATGTGTTCTATGAGGGTCTGTAGGAGGGGCCGCTCAACACTTTGGTTATTGGACGGGCTTTGCTAAAGAAGTGTGGTTTGGGCCCTGAGACCAAGAGACCCAGAGTAGTGGTGGAGGGCAGGATGGGACCAGTACTGGTTTAGTGGAAATGCTGAGTCTGCTGTTGCCTCTTCAAATGAACCTCTTGATGTTGATGCACTGTTGAGAAACACATCTGGCGCAGAGGCTGACTCTCCAGGGTGTAAATTTCCTAAGTAAAGGCTTCTTTCTCTTCTGATGCCTTTTGGGCATTTTATTGCTCCTTAGCACCTCTATGAGGAGGAGAATTGTAGAAAGTGAGGAGGAGGTAGGGTGAAGAGGAGGAGGAGGTGCTGCTGTCTAAATTTAGTGGAAAGGATGTAAAAGTGAAGTTGGAAGGAAAAGGGAGTTTAAGGCTTTTACTTCCTCTGATTATTCTGTTTCCTATTAGCCTAGTTGGTACTAGTAATAATAGTTACCATGTAGCACTTACTAGGTGCCCAGCCTTCTGCTGAATGCTTTATATTTATTATCTCATTTAACCCTCAAAAGGTTCTTATGATGTGGGAGATTATTAAGCCCATGTTGTAAATGAGGAAACAGCTCAGGGAAGTAAGTAATTGGCTGAAAGTCACATGGCTTCAAAGTGGAAGGGCTGGGATGGAACTGGGTCTCTGTCTGCCTCCAGAGCCCATGTTTTCATGGTATTGGGCTCCCTAACACCAGGTGTTCTGATGTTTCAGGTGAAGAGATTGTTTTCTGAAGGCTGCGTTGGAGGCTGTGACAGAGCACAGAGCCCTGTGGAGCTGATGGGGAGGCTTTCTCAATAACATGGCCCTTCGCCATTAGCCTTGCCATGACCACATTTTTCACCAGCGTCCCCCCCTGGATTCAAGATGCAAAGCAGGAGGAGGAAGTGGGCTGGAAACTAGTGCCCCGGCCTCGGGGCCGGGAGGCGGAGAGTCAAGTGAAGTGCCAATGTGAAATCTCGGGGACACCCTTCTCAAATGGGGAGAAGCTGAGGCCTCACAGCCTCCCCCATCCAGAACAGAGACCGTATAGCTGCCCTCAGCTGCACTGTGGCAAGGCTTTTGCCTCCAAGTACAAGCTGTATAGGTAGGTGACGCTCCCATACCTCTTCCTGGCCTGAGATTCCCAGGGATAAAGCCAGAGCAACTCCACTGAATGTGGGGCTTTATCTGTGGCAGAAGAGTAGAGGTTAATTTGTCCCATAAGTGTATCCTAAATGTCAACCATTTGAGGTCACTCACTGAAAAATAATGGTGGTATTTTTCATTCAAACACTAGACTTGGATGGGTACAATATCAGATAGCCATGAACAGACTAGATTGAGGTTTTTTTTTTTTTTTAATATAGGCTTACCTCATTTTATTGCACTTCACAGATACTGCATTTTTTTTCCCCACAAACTGAAGTTTTGTGGCAACTTTCAGTCAAGAAAGTTGGCCCAGTTTTTCAACTTTCCAACAGCATTTGCTCACTTCATGTCTCTGTGAAGCATTTTGGTAGTTCTCACAATATTTCAAACCCTCCACCATCAAAAAGTTTACAGCTTGCTGAAGGATCAGATGATGACTAGCACTTTTTAGCAATAAGGTTTTTTTTTTTTAAATAAATTTTTTAAAAGGTGATATGGACTGTTCTTTTAAAGTCTTTATTGAATTTGTTACAACATTGCCTCTGCTCTTTTCTGGTTTGGTTTTTTGGCCAAGAGGCTCATGGATTCCTAGCTCCCAATCAAACCTGCACCCCCTGCATTGGAAGGCGAAGCCCTAACCACTGGACCATGAGGAAAGTCCCTAGTAAAGTATTTTTAATTAAATCTCTACATTGTTTTTTTAGACATAATGCTATTGCACACTTAATAGGCCACAGTATAGTATAGACATAACTTTTATATGCACTAGGAAACCAAAAAATTCATGTGACTCCTATTACTGTGACGTTCACTTTGTTGCAGTGGGCTGGCACCAAACCTGCAATATCTCCAAGGTATGCCTGTGCTACTTTCCCTACCTGTGTCAGGTAATGGTGAGAGTATTAGCCCCAAATTAGGCATCAGCCTTAGAAGTTTAAAAAGAAGAGGAGACCCTCTGGTCCAATCTGTAAATTGTAAAGTGCAGGCTCAAAGTGGAGAAGTTAACTTACCCAAGATCGTATTGCTTACATGATTACTTATGTCTCTGTAGAGTCCCTGGTGTCCTCTGGGTTAGAAGATTTCCTGAAACTTGTAAGCTCAAGAACCCCTATCCAAAGTGAAATGGAATGTGAAAGCCCTGGTGTAAAGCAGATATGACAGAGCAGCTTTGAAGGGAGCAGGGCCTACTCAGGAGTAGTTTTGATTTTATCCTTGCCTTTCCATCAGAGGACCATGAACGTGCCCTTTACCAGTGATGCAGACTGCCTGATGCACAGTCATTCATCCCTTGACTATCATTTATTGAGCTCCTGTCACATGCCGGGCACAGTGTTCAGTGATAGGAACAGACAGTTCCTGTCAGGGGTGGGGGTGGGGGCTGTTGCTGACCCTCCTTGAGTTTACTGTCTCAGTAGCAGGGACAGACAGCACACGAGTAAATACGTGAACAAGATGACCACAGAAAGTCTCTAGTTCCTTGTCTGGAAAACAGTTGATAGGAAGGAACTAAAATAGGTAACAGGGTTGTATGTGACTAGGATTGCCCTCGTGACAGTTCTGTGGTCCTCAGGAATGCCTCGGTTCTGTGTGTTCCTGTGTTTTATGTGATATCAGTTGGGGGTGTCCTCGTAGACTTTTCTAGTGGCAGTCTGAGTGTCAGTGGGAGGCTCCAGGAAAGGTCCTGGGCCAGGAGACAAGAGCCTTGACTCCGCCCAGAGTCACTGTAGAATTTTAGGCAAATTACTAAACCTCTTTGGGCCTTAGTTTTCTCAAATTCAAAATGAGGGAAATAGACTGTGGATCACTTAGCATCTTCTTTTCATATGTTACCATGCCACTTATGTCACAGGAGATTAATAGTAACCTTTATAGGTGTGAGCACTCACAAGAACATGAGGGTAATGGGTATGATTGATACCTTCTAGGTAGAAAGAATCACTGGGTGCTGTGCTAGAGACAGCAGTGGCATATCTAAGTGAATCCAGGTCTCGAGAAGGTCTGGGTTTAAATGCATTGTCTGCCACTTACTGACTGGTGGGTGGGGCTGTCCTGTGCGTCAGCTTCTTATGTAGAACACAGGGTTAATGACACAGCTCACACAGCTTGTAAACGATGGGACCTCAAAGTCTTGCTGAGTTGATTCTTGAATACCATGGAGCTTTGGATTGTAGTTCCTGGATTCAGAGCTGGTTTCCAGCCAGATAGGAGCAGAAGCAGGTAAACCAAGGGGCACTGAGGTCCCATATCACAAACACATCTTTTGAAACGTTTAAATGCTTTACGTGGCAAACAACTTAAATGGTACAAATGGACATGCAGTGAAAAATAAATTGTCACACTTGAAGCCACTGTTCTCCTCAAAGGCAACCATTGGGGTCAGTTCTTTGTGTATCCCTCTTGAGACATTCAAACATGTATTCCCTTCCTTTTTTATTTTCACAGGGGATTGTGTTACATACACCATACTGAACTTCCTTTTTTGACTTGGCTCACTGTTTCTTGGGAGATTGTTCCAGATCAGGAAGTTTAGATATATTTCATTTTCCCTTTATTGTGTCATTTAAATTTTTATAAATACACTTTTTGTTGCAAAGGAAATACATTCACGTAATTCAAAATTCAAAAGGTATACAATGAAAATTCTTCATCACACCCAGAAAAGCTGCCCTTTCTTCTCCCTGTGGGTAGCCAATGTTAGTTTCTTATGTATCCTTTCAGAAATATTTTAAGCTCATATGAGCAAACATGCATAAATTTTCTCTCTTTTCCAATGCATGGTACCATTCCATAGGCACTATTCTGTCTCATAGCTTTTTCCCACTTTATCTAGGAGCTTGTTACCTGTTGTATATATAAAGCTGTCATTATTTTTAAAAGTTAAGGAGGGAATTCCATGTCGGTCCAGTGGTTAGGACTTCACACTTTCACTGCTGTGGGGCTGGGTTCCATCCCTGGTCAGAGAACTAAGATCCCACAATGCTGCACAGCCAAAAAAAAAGTTGTCATTTTTATGGACTTAGAATTACTTATTTAGCCAGTTCCCTACTGATGGACATTTAGATTATTCCTGATATTTTTGCTACTGAATTCAATGCTGCAGAGAATAGCAGCACATGTGGTTTTGCAGGTGGTAGAGGATATAATGTAGTTGGCATGGCGTTCCATTCCATCGCATGCCTCTACCATAGTTTTTGTGTCTAGTTGCCTGTTAGTGCACAACTCTGTTGTCTAGCCAGCCCTTATGATCTTTCTTTCTTCTCTGTCCTCCATCCCTGCCTGCAGGCACATGGCCACCCACTCATCCCAGAAACCCCACCAGTGCATGTACTGCGATAAGATGTTTCACCGCAAGGATCATCTGCGGAACCACCTGCAGACCCATGACCCCAACAAGGAGGCCCTCCACTGTTCTGAGTGCGGTAAGAATTACAATACGAAGCTGGGCTACCGGCGCCATCTGGCCATGCATGCCGCCAGCAGTGGCGACCTCAGCTGCAAGGTGTGCCTGCAGACCTTCGAGAGTACCCAGGCCCTGCTGGAGCACCTGAAGGCCCACTCACGCCGGGTAGCAGGTGGTGCCAAGGAGAAGAAGCACCCCTGTGACCACTGTGACCGGCGGTTCTATACTCGTAAGGACGTGCGGCGGCACCTGGTGGTCCACACAGGCCGGAAGGACTTCCTGTGCCAGTACTGTGCCCAGCGTTTCGGCCGCAAAGACCACCTGACGCGTCATGTCAAGAAGAGCCACTCGCAAGAGCTGCTCAAGATCAAGACGGAGCCGGTGGACATGCTTGGCCTGCTCAGCTGCAGCTCCGCAGTCAGCGTGAAGGAGGAGCTGAGCCCCGTGCTGTGCGTGGCCTCCCGGGACGTGGTGGGGGCCAAGGCCTTCCCTGGCATGTTGCCCATGGGCATGTACGGTGCCCACATCCCTGCCATGCCCAGTGCGGGCGTGCCACACTCCCTGGTGCACAACACGCTGCCCATGGGCATGAGCTACCCTCTGGAATCCTCACCTATCTCTTCTCCAGCTCAGCTTCCTCCAAAATACCAGCTTGGATCTACCTCATACTTGCCCGACAAATTGCCCAAAGTGGAGGTGGATAGTTTTCTGGCGGAGCTTCCTGGAAGCCTGTCTCTCTCATCCGCTGAACCCCAGCCCACCTCACCTCAGCCGGCGGCAGCTGCGGCCCTCCTAGATGAAGCACTGCTCACCAAGAGCCCCGCCAACCTCTCTGAGGCTCTCTGCGCTGCTAATGTGGACTTCTCCCACTTACTGGGCTTTCTTCCTCTCAACCTGCCCCCATGTAACCCACCTGGGGCCACAGGAGGCCTGGTCATGGGCTACTCCCAGGCTGAGGCTCAGCCCCTGCTCACCACTTTGCAAGCTCAGCCTCAAGATTCCCCAGGGGCTGGGGGACCACTGAACTTTGGGCCACTGCACTCCTTGCCACCTGTCTTCACCTCTGGCCTGAGCACCACGACCCTGCCTCGTTTCCACCAGGCATTCCAATAGCCGCAAGGAGGCCCTCAGCTCAGTCCCGGCTCTGTCAGGGAGCCTCAGTACCTGTCCCATCTGCATCCCCCATGAAGGCAGCTGAGCTTTCAGAGCTGGGTTCAGAAAGAAACAATCCCAGCATCTGTATGGAGCACTTGGTCTGGGGGCTCAAGCTCCAGGATTAGTACCGGGAGGAATCTTGAGCCCTAACCCCATGAAAAGATGTCATACAATAGGACTTCAGGTATTTTTACTTTTTTTTTTTTTTAAATCTGAATCGGGAGCCACACCTAGCCTTCTCCTTCTCCAAAGCATCGGAACCTCCTTCTCTTTGAAGAAGGGAGAGGTCTCTTGAAGACACAGAGGGTTTTACTTCGGATGACCTCGAGAGAAGTAGCCCAAGAAGCCCGTCTTCTGGTCCCAGCCTGCAGACCCCACAGCAGTTGGTCAGGCCCTCCTGCAGAGGGTCCATCGCCTGCTTCCAGTCATCAGGCAGGGGGGGAGGCCTCTGCCTGCTCCCCATTACCTCCATCCCTCCTGTCCCAACGTCTCCATTTTCAGTCAGTGTTTTCCAGCAACGGTACCGTTTACACAGTCGCTTCAGACACACCATTTCACCTCCCTTGCTGAGCTGTTAGCCTTAGAATGATTGCAGTGAACATTGTTTACACACCGTGAATCCATTCCCACCAGTCCATTCCAGTTGGCACCAGCCAGAACCACTTGGTACCTGGTGTTAACTGGAGCCCTGTTTACAAGGTGGAGTCGGGTCCCGACTTCTCTTCATTTGAGGTCACATTTTTCCCCTGTGGGGAAATAAACTGACTTTGGACTGCTTCAGTCTCTGCCATCTTCCATGACTGTGTCTGTTCTTGCCTTCCTTGGCAGAGTCCACAGGAGACAGGCAAGAAGATTGGAGCAGTTTTCTCACAGGTCTGCAATTCTGTTTTTCTTCAAGTACATCATGACCCCCTCATCCTCCTTTTGAACTGGAGAGAGGGGAAGAAATGAAAGGCATGCCCACTTCCACCCCCCCTGCCCCCCGCCCATTCCTTAATCCCTACCCTGAATATCATGAGTTGTTATTGGTCTTGGAAGGAGGGATTCGGGTTCTAGGCTGGTGTGGATAGCAAAGGAGAGGGTGTGAGCCTCTCATATGTCTCTCCTGCCTGTCCCTTTTTCAGGAAGTTGTGGAATTGTTGGAAGAAGAGTTTTCAGAAAGTTAGGACTGGGCAGATAATTGAGTCCTAATCATCATCGTATCATGTATGGGGGGTATACATCATGTATGGGATGTATCATGGGAGGTAAACATCATTGCCTCCCATACCAAACTTTTTTCTTCTCCACAGTGTTCCTCCTCTCTCTTCCACTTTGCAGTCCCTCTGGACTCAAGGCCACTGTGCATAGGCTTCTGTGCTCTCCATCAAAGAATTTCGACCTTCTTGTGGCCCCTCTCACTTTTGCCCTCAGTACTCAGCAAGTTTTCTTGCAATAAATGATTAATTCTTTTGACTTGTGGGGCTCCCTTGCTGCAGACAGCACAGCTTTTGCCCAGCTGAACCTCACCCCTGCTTCATCTCAGTTCTGCATGGGCTTCGTTCTTCCCACTCGTGGAAGGGAGGCCACTCAGGGACCACCAGTATGGGGCCCTCTTGAGACACTTCCACTCTGATTCAGAAACACACTTCTACCTCTTTACTGTTAACTCCTACATATGGCAGCCAGCAGTTTCTGGGCACTTCTCTTAGTAGGTGCCTCATACTGGCTTCTGGCTTCTTCACTAGGGTTTCAGGACAGACTCCCAAGGAACTGCCTCAGCCTCTTCCCAGTTCTCCCCATCCCCCTCCTGTCTGGAAATCACTTTGGTTTATCATCAGGAACTGAGCAGGTCCAAGACCCACGCTTCTGCTTCAGCGCAGGCCAGTACTCTTTCTTTGAGGTGAAAGCCTTAAAATGTAGCTTCCTGGCCCTTGATTGGAAGCAATGTGGAATGAATAAACATGTTTTCATTTAGGCAGGCTAGCTTGGGGTAACTTTTTTTTTTTTAAAAAAGACAAAACCAGATATAAAGATGTCTGGCAAGATTAGAATCAGACTAGGTGATTTGCTTCTAAAAATTAGCTTCAGTGAGTCCCAGGGACTAATTAAGGTTTACTTTTAAAAGCGTCCACCTTGGTACGCAGCCACCTTGTGCATGCTATGCATGTTATTGGGACTCGTATATAGGAAATGTAAGTGAGGACCCAGTCGGGACTCAGTGCCGCCATTGTCCTTGTCGTCTCTGACCTCCATCACTAGACCCAGCAACCCTCAGCCCTCGTTGCCACCTTTTCTGCACCTTTTGTTTGCAGAGGTAGAGGGGCCTCTGGCTATGGAATATAAAGTCTTGGACTGTGAGAGGAGTCCCTTCTCTGTGCCTGCTCTTTCCTGCCCCTTCCTTGAATTCTCTCCCCCATCAGTGATGCTGGGAAACTCATAGGACAGGCAAAGCAACTTTAAAACCTTGTAACTTGGGGCCTTGCCCCTTCTCCCCTCTTCTTCCTTTCAGGCCTGTTCCTCCTGTTCTTCCTTCAATGCCCTTCCCACCCACAAAGAATTTTCCTATCACTGTGAACTTTGCTGGTGCAGAGGAACATCTGCCTTCACCTTTTTTTTTTTTTTTGGACTGTAGATACCCAGCAATTTCTTAAACCTCCCTTTCCAAAAAAGAAAAAAAAAAAAAGTCCTTATTGACCTGTTGTTCAAAGGATAAGAACAGCTTTATCCTCCTCGGTACCAAACCCACTTCAGTACCCTTACTGAGGCCATGAGAGCCTAGGGGTTTCTGCCCAGGACAGGAGCCATGGCATGTTGGCAGAGACCAAACAGGGACCAGGAAAAGGGGTGATGTCCCCTTCCCTACCGCTTCCAACCTCTGTCAGCGATGAGCTGCCCTGAACAGTGGCAGGCACCTCCCCCTCTGCACAGAAGCTAGTCAGGGTTGAGTGCAGTCCTGGGGGGCCAGGGGGTAGCATGCCAGCTGGGTCAGCTCAGAGGATCTGCACATCTTGGGAGAGGGGAGAGGAACAATGAGTTTTTTTCCCATAACCTTTTATAAATGGCATTTTGTTCATGGAAATCCGGGAAGCAGGTGTGATTCCTTTTTTGCTCGTAGATATTGTCTTAAGTTGAACTTCTACTGCCCTCAACTTTACCCTAGTAGCCCTTTAAGTCCCTATGCCTCCTCCTTTTTGGTAGCTGTTTTCTCCAGCCCCCCCTCCATCTCCCCTCTTATCTAGGAGCTATTTTTAAGCATGACTTTTTTTAACAGTTTATATTGTACAGGATCAATATTTTGCTTTTTAACAAGGATATTTATGTAATAAACTTTGCCTTAGGCGGGTGTTGGCCAGAAAAGTCCAGATTCCTCTGGGATCCCACCCTGGCCTCTCCTGGAGCTCTGAACCTGCTGTGGAAGGAACTGGCTGTGACCTCACCACTGGAAAGTAGGGTCTGTGGCGAGGGAAAGGGGTGTATTGCTTCTGACAGGAGGAGGATCCACCATGGTAATCAAGTGCCTGTGTGGAGGGGTTTGAAAAGAAATGTTCTAGTTGTTTCTTCAGATGTTCGCCTACTTTCTTAGCGGATTCTCCCCATAATGCAGCTCTCCAGCTCTCACCATTTGGCACTGGAACTCCTGAAACATCACTTCTCATACACCCCCCTCCCTCTCTCCCAGTGGTCAAGGCTTTGGAGCCACTCTTTCGTAATACCAGATTATTTAAAGAGAAAAATACAAGACAAAACCTAGCACTTTGTAAACACAGTGAATAACCTCGGGAGTATTTTTGGCTTTATATAAAACAAGGTTTTTAATTGTAAAATATAAGTGCCATTAGAAAATGCACAAGGCCTATCTTTGTTAAAGTAGATTTTTCAATGTTTTACAGAATTACATTTTCAAAAAAAAGTTTTTATAATGAAGTTGTTTATTAAAAACTTCTGAATGATGTGTTTGGAAGTTGTGAACCTGTCTCATTGGGAAGGGGTTGGATAGAACCTGAGAAATAACTGGAGCCTAGACATTGTCAGCATCCAAGGGGATGGTAGGTATAATAGAGCAGACAGTAAGAACCCTTAGTATTAGCACCTACAAATGCTGTACTTTGGAATGAAAAATCTTTGAGGTAAGTGGCATCATGCCATCACTTAATAATCTTGGATGCAAGAATCAAAAAATGAACTCAATGAAATTTCATATCACTGCAAATGCCAGATGGAATGCAGTCTTGAGGTTAGTATTGGTTCAGCAACTCAGACATGGTAGGCCTTAGCATTCCTGTTTCTGCCATATCTTGTGCAGTTGTGACCATCCTCGGGCCCTTCCATGTGGCTTGTCCCTTTATCAAAGCATGCTGCCATGATTGCAGTCATTCTCACACAGTGCTGACCAGGAATGGAAAGGGACCCTCTTCTCTAAGGAGAGAGGAGTCCTTTTATTCACAGAAGCCCTGTAAGCATCTTCTGTCTCATTGGCCTTGATGGTGTTCTGTGCCATCCCCAAGCCAGTCACTGTAGACCAGTGGTGACAAGACTAAGCCAAGGGGATGAGTGTTTTCTCAAAGAACTTTGGCATACTGTTAGAATGAGGAATGGATGCTGGTTGTCCAAGAAAAAAATGTCATCCATGGCTCAAGGTGCACAGCTGGTCAGTGACAGAGCTAGGACCTGACCTTGGCCACACTTGTGCCTACCCATTTGGTTCAGACAGATTCTTGAAAGGAGGCATGGCTTCACCTGATGTTGCTTGGCCAGTCCAGCAAAGGCAGTCATCACTCTTCTGAGCCCCATCTCTTGTACTGAGTGAGATCCTCCCATCCGGGGCTCAGACTGAGCTTGCTTTTCTGTGGTCTGGAGCCACTGTCCATAGCGAAGCAGTGCAAATCACTCCAGTCCAGCCCAAGACTTTATGGGGCATTCCATGTGACTGTGTGTTAACAGGTGTTTTATGTTCAAAGGCAGTGGGCTGGCCCTTCTCTTCAGCCTGTTGACTTGAGTAACTCCACCCCAATGGGTCAGTCCTTTGCTAGGGCCCCAAAGACATCCACTTTGCCCTCCAGAAGCTGCATTCCTGGGAGTGGGTCTGGCAGCTCAAAGCTGTCTTTTCCATTGACAGCTGAAGGCTTTCTGGAGGAGGTGGCAAGGACTTCTAGGTGAGGGGGTGGAGTATTAGGTGTTCTGACCACCATGGGCCACAAGTTGGGGAGCTGAGATAACAGGACGGCAGGCATGTGCAAGATTAGGGTTGCAGAAGGTGGTCCACCCAGGCTCTTACTATCCAGGCACGGGCCCTTGCACTTCAGACTAAGTTCACATTTGTAAAATGGAACAGAACAAGGGGTAGCCCCCAGGTCTAAGAGGAGGTAAAGCAATGTTCATCCCACCAGCCCATGGGGATCCAGCTCTTGGAGGGAAACCAGGCAGAGACCCACTTGCTCCCTGGTTGGCTGCATCTGAGAACTTCTCTTGTCCCTGATTCTTCCACTTCAACCTCGTTTCTTTCTTTTTCCACAAATATTTTGAGCACCTCCATGTGCCCAACAATTACTATACAAGTTTCAGTCAGGTCAGAGACCGAAAGATACCTCTTGAGTCCTTTGCATTTGCCTGAGTAATTTATCCTCTGCAAAGCTCCCCGGAGGGCACAGTAGTGTGGGCACCGAGCAACTCCCACCTGTCCACCGCAGGTAGAAAATTACTGCTTGGCATGGTGGCTCTGATGGAAGGTTCTATATGTCTGTGATTTGGGTCCCTGTTCAGAGCTGTTCTTTGCTTGCTACACCCCTCCACATCACCTCCTTTTCACCCCGACTCCTAGTTCTGTCTGGGTGCCTGCAGTCGCAGCCCTCTGCCCTTCCACCGGGTCCCTCGCCCCTTATTAGCTAGGGAACCCTTGTGAATCACATCCGAAAAGGGGTGGGGGCCCAAGGGGGGCGGGGCGAGCCCCGTAGAAGACCGCGCGTCTCTTCCTCCTGCAAGAGGTCTGCTGGGGTCGCCGCCAGCCGCCCAGCCGTCCGTCTCGCGGAATCCGCGGCGTCGCCCCTGCGCCCCTCCAGGCTCGAGGCAGGTTTTGGCGGACGAGGTTTCGGGGGGCCTGGAAACCGCCGCGCGCAGGGTCCCCGCGTCTGGGGCCCGAGAGGCTGGGAGACGCGGGTACCCAAGACCCCACAGCCCGCCCTGGGGCCGCCCCACCTGTGCAGGAGCTCCAGGAGGAGGCCTCCGCGGCCACTGACCTGAGCCCGGAAAACCGGCCTTGTCGGGAGGGCGCCCCAGCAACCTGTCGCACAGAAGGGTGGGGGGCTCGAGCTGGGGCCGGCGGGAAGGCCGAGGAAGTGACGACTGAGAAGGGCGCCATCTTCACGGAGGAGGCGGAGGGTGGGGGGCGTGGGGAAGCAGCGGTGGGAGAGTGGGTGAAGGTGGCGGAGAAGCTGGAGGGGGAGGAGAAGCTAGAGGTGGGAGCGGAGGCGCCGGAAGGCCTGGGGCCCCTGAACTTGGTGGCCCAGGTGTGGACCCTCTGGAAGCCGTCAAGTGGGGAGCAGGAGGCCCTGAGTACCCAGGCGTACTGGGTCTACCTATGGCTGGAGCGCAGCTGCACCTGGTCCCAGGGAGCTGCATCATACCGAATATTTCTGGCTTCTGGGTCACTGCCTTCCTGAGAGGCTAGAAGCCACGATTACAAAGACATAAGGAAACTGGGTTGGTAAATATGTTCACTGTCTTGCTTGTAGTAATTCATGGTGTGTGTATATATGTCAAAACATGGGACTTCCCTGGTGATCAAGTGGTTAAGACTCTGTGCTTCCACTGCAAGGGGTTGCAAGTTTGATCCCTAGTTGGGGAACTACGATCCCACATGCCACACAGCATGATCAAATATATATGTATCAACAACCTATCAAGTTGTGTAGTTTCTGTCAATTATAACTAAAAATATAAACATAAACAGTCTTTTAAAAAGGCAGCTATAGTAGTGGT